GCTGGGAGGCTGCACCTGCCCTCCGCCTGCTCCGCAACCCATCACCGCTGGCATCCCTGGGAGGTGTGCGCCCAAACGCCCCAGCCAAAGCCGACCGTGCCGATGCTTTTGCCAAGGGAGGGGCCCTGCGGAAAGCCGGGGGCTCGCACAGCTTTTGTTCACATGCCCGCCCCTGCCCCGGCCGAAACATCAAAGCAGCCCCATGCAAAGCGCCTTGCACCAGCCCCATGAATGCTCCCAGCTGCTGCGGGTGCACCCTGCTCCAGCAGCCTGTCCTCCCACCACCACCCCGCGCAACATGGCACATCAAAATCCCGTCCCCTTCCCCAGGAAAAAACCCGGCAGGTGGGAAGCAGCCCCTTGTGCAATGGGGCCGGGGCACGGCCGGGGCAGGCGGGGAGCCACGCTGCAGCCAAAACTGTGGCTGGGGCAGATCTACTGCGCTCCCGTTTCGTTCCTGAGCATTCCGGGAAACTTGGGCTGCCGCAACCTGTTTCAGTCAGGCTGAAAGAGTCGGGTTTTTCTGCCCCCGTGCTACCGAGCCCACACGCTCACGCCTGGCCCCAAAGCTAACGAAACCCTCCCAGCGCTGCAGCGCAGAAAACGTGCGTGGCTGGTGGGGGAAAGCGAGCTAGCTAGCTAGCTATAGATATAGCTGCATCTACAGCATTGGATATCTCTAGCTATAGATATATGTACCATGAGCTATACCTATTTTTTTTGTGGGCCAACTTTCCCACTTCCCCCCTCTTCTTGAAACACAGGGCTGCTCGGGGTTGCTCATGCCAAAGGCTGCTCCACCAGTAAGCACCAGCGTCCAGGTGCTGCGGCGGTGCGAAGAGCCAAGAAAGTGGCTTGCACAAGGAAAAAAGCAAACAAATGCCTCCTCCCCCCCAAAAAGGGCAAAACCAAAAGCACACTTTGCTTGGATTGAACAAGAGGTTACGAACTAACCCGTCCTTAAACCTTGCTCTGACTGCCCGATGGAGCTTTGCTGCTAGAGGGACCTGGTCCTAACTAATCACTTTCTTGCAAAGCTTACAGTAACGGCCTAACCCGTCTCCTGCGTTGGGGCTCTAACAGCGCCCAAAGTTAGTACTCAGCTACTAACGCCTCAAAAACGTACATTTTCATTTTTCCTTTGGAAAGACACAAACAGTAGGGACACTTAATTATACACCCACTGAGGAATAAACTGGTTTTGCAATTCATAAATATAAACTTAGAGTTAAAAAGTGACAATTTACAAAAATACAATTTATTGCTGACCCCTAGGGCTTGTAACATCGCCTGTCTTCGTTGTGATCATACCTTTCAGGTTCGCCAAATTGAAACATGACCCAGCAAAACCACAAAGTTTGCCGTCATATGCTGTTCTACGCTTGTTTGTTTGTTTTCATGTATAGAAACATATACAACTACATCACTTGAAACAAAACAACCGAAAAAAGAAGGAGTAAGGATTCTTTGTCTGTAACCTGAAAAATATTTGGCTACAGGGAGTAAAAACCATATAAATTCATCTGCACTTGTTAACCAAAATAAAACATGACAAATATCTTACTAGCTGCGATGTGAGCTGGTATAACAACAGTAAGAAATTCAGGCAAAAGTGGTGTTATGTAAATTAGCAGCATTATCCAATCTCCTGGAAAACAAAAAATTGCGGGACTGAGGTATAGAAAAAAGGAAAAAAATCCACAATGGACCTACTACAGCGAAACGAGTTATGTACATGGTAACCCTCCAATGGCGTCCTGCGGACCGGTACAGTCTGTGTATGTGCTCCAAACGCTGGGCGTAAATTCACAGTGACTTTCAGCATTGAAGTCCTGAATGGAAAAGGGTTTTCTCCGTTGCAAAGCAGTCTTCATGGCAACCTGATAAATAACCTCCCAGCAGCCAGAAAGCCGTTGCCTTCCAGTTGTACCGCTGTGCTGGGCAAGAGCACGTACGGCTGCCGGAGCGGCATCACGGACTGGCTGCATGGAAATCCCAACCGATGAGGTGCCCCGGAGCCGTCCGTCCCCGGCGGGGACCATCCCTCCAGCCACCACCTTCCCCGTGGGGCCCGACCTCACCCGTCCCGTGCTCTGACGGCGTTGTCCTCCCCTCCGCGTGCGCCCGGGGCGCCGAGCGGCTGCAGCCAAGGTTGTCCCTTCCTCCCAGACCCGGCGTTCAGGGCAGCTGCATCTCGGGCAGGTCCGGCAGGTTGCAGGCCTGGCCCTGTGCGTGGCGGCTCTGCTGCTGCGGGTGGAGGAAGTAGCTCAGGGGGTTCTGCTGCGGGGTGTGGGGGGGCTGGAAAATGCGCTGTGTCGGACCCCCAGGCACCGGCTCAGGAGCTTGCATCTGTTGGGAGACACAAATTTGACAAGTCAGACCTCCCCTATCACCCATCCGCTCCCTCTCTTGATGCAGGGCTGATGCTGAGGCTTGTACCCAGGAGTGCGAGCACCAAGTCCTAAAGATAACCTCTAGCCATCGAGGGTACAAGTTGTGGACAAGTGGCTTGGGGTGCTGGGGCTACCAGCACAACTAACAATAACCGGAGAGGACAGAGGGG